TAAATAAATAAAATAAATTTAAAATAAATCGATTTTTTGAAGCTACTAAAGCAGGCTCCTCCGTTATGTACATAGTGCAAATTTCGTGTGGATAATCCTGTTGCATTACGGTGATTCAGTTTTATCAAAAACACGAGCCTACGAGTGAAGCAGAGCTTTCAAACAGGGCAGAGAGATCGTTAAAAATATTCCCCGTTCTGGACGACCTTCAACTGATGAAAATATTAAAAAAGCGAAGTATATGGTGCTTGAAAATTGTCAGCCAAGTGTTAGAGAGATGGCAAGAGAGCTCATCATCTCTCTCGAATACGTACGAGTGATTTTGGAGGAATTTTTCGTATGAAACGCGACGACTCGTCCCGATAAAACTGATTTTTTTTAAGAGTACCGTAAAAAGGTCTCTTTGGACGTGCTTGATCGTGCGAATTCCGATCCCAAATTCATGAAGAGCAATAAAACAGCCGCTGAGACATGGAATCCGAAGGTAATACCGTTTATTTCCCATATAAGGATATTGTTAAAAACTTCTAAAAGTGCGATATATCAATAATTAAATACGAAAAGTATATAAAATTGTACACACAATATTGGTACTAAAAGGCTTTATATTATAAAATTACATCTCTCGCTTATAACACAGTTTTAAGTTCCATTTGATTCTTTCACTTTCTATTGCACAAAACCAGAAGCAATTGACATAACGGGATAAAACGTTGCATTACTAATTCCTTTAAAGTACGCAAGCTCATGGCAAAAATGTTTCCAAATGTAACCAAAACTGCTCAAGGCCTTGAATACTGGATATGTGGACTCCAGTATCTATTGTGGAGTTTTGACCGAAAACATCTGTTAATGTTTGGGATATCCGATTGCCATTAAAAATTTATATTCTCTCCTTATATTAGAATTTTTGGATATTAAAAATATGTTGAAAGGGGTCAAAACTTCCCTGGATCCCCGTATACTTAATATAAAGATTTTCGAAAATCCTATATTAATGAAAATGAGATTTTTACTAATGTTTTACTGAGAACAGTATATATTTATGCCTAAAATAGATAAAATTTGGTGAAAACTTGCCCTAACTCCTATATACTCAACTAATATAATATTACAATTTTCGAACATTTGGCTGACTTAACTCAATTTTATTGGTGATTGCATGTGATGTATCTACCTAAATGAAAACCAGGGAACATTTTTTTTAGAATGTGGCATATGAATAGTAAGTCTTACTCGTAAAAATACATATAATAGAGTTAATAGTACCCCCACTGCGGCAAGTTGCAAGAGTATGAAATGTTCGGTTACACCGGAACGTAGCCATTCCTTACTTATTATACTCTCGCAACAAAGTTGCTAAAGAGAGTATTATAGTTTTGTTCACATAACGGTTGTTTGTAAGTACTAAAACTAAAAGAGTCAGATATAGGGTTATATATACCAAAGTGATCAGGGTGATGAGTAGAGTTGAAATCCGGATGTCTGTCTGTCCGTCCGTCCGTGCAAGCTGTAACTTGAGTAAAAATTGAGATATCATGATAAAACTTGGGTTGGCTCCATAAGAAGGTTAAGATCGAAGATGGGCAAAATCGGCCCACTGCCACGCCCACAAAATGGCGGAAACCGAAAACCTATAAAGTGTCATAACTAAGCCATAAATGAAGATATTAAAATGAAATTTGGCACAAAGGATCGCATTAGGGAGGGGCATATTTGGACGTAATTCTATTGGAAAAGTGGGCCTGGCCCCGCCCCTTACTAAGTTTTTTTGTACATATCCCGGAAACTACTACAGCTATGTCAATCGATCTCTGAAGAGTCGTTTCCTTCAGGCATTTGAATATACAGTTCAAAAATGGAAGAAATCGGATAATAACCACGCCCACCTCCCATACAAAGGTTATGTTGAAAATCACTAAAAGTGCGTTAACCGRCTAACAAAAAACGTCAGAAACACTAAATTTTACGGAAGAAATGTCAGTAGGAGCTGCATCCAGGCTCTTTTTAAAAATTGAAAATGGGCGTGGCGTCGCCCACTTATGGACCAAAAACCATATCTCAGGAAGTACTCAACCGATTTCAATGAAATTCGGTATATAATATTTTCTTAACACCCTGATAACATGTACCAAATATGCGGTGAAATCGGTTCACAACCACGCTTGAAATCTCGAGTATCACTTTATCATGCGAGAGTATAAAATGTTCGGTGACACCCGAACTTAGCCCTTCCTTATTTGTTTTTTCTTCTATTTCAGCATCAACTCCAAGGTGTAAACAGATCATCAAAATCAGGTGAATGAAATATATTTATTTACGCTTTTACAGTAATGTTTTCTGCATTATGGTTGCTCAATCTCTGATTTTCATACATATATGGTTGCAGATTGAGTACTTTTAATTCATCTAGTTCGCTATTAGTTAATATAAAAATTAGTTTTCTTATCTGCATAAGTAGAAAATAGTTCTTCTCTCATATAAACTCTGGCATGAGTATTACCAAATACGGAAACAATAAATTCTTTTGTTTTTACTATTTTCAAATAAGGCACTCATAGTCGCCTACGAAAAATAACAAATGTGGCTGATGTCACCTACATAATTGAAGTGATATGTTGCACGTTAAATGTCCAAAGAATATTACTTAATTAGTCGTGATCTTCAAGAAAGTAAATAAGCAAGCCAGTAAGTGTATATTTGTATAAATGCGTGAGAGTATCTAGGTCATTGTATACGATGCTCTGAGTTAAATTTACAATTTTTATCTAGAGTGGATAGTATACTTATACGAACAAAATCATACTAGTTTAGGTTATTCTAATCGAATTTGTTATATATGAGATCTCTACAACAACTCTTGTATTAATATGTCTTTAGCTGAGATGTATATGTAAAATGTCTACCAACAAGAGCGACGTTAAAATGAAAAAAGAACACTCAAATTTGGTTTTTTTTGTTATGCAGATAATTGTATGCCATTTATGATTTGAACAACATGTCAGCCAAATGACCATCGTGAACAGATTGCATATTTCTTACTATTTACATCTATTTTCGACTAGAATTAATCGGCTTTAGTGCGCTGAAAGTTGCTTTTGACCTCTTCGAGCGTTGCTGGTTGGTTGGTGTAAGTCTTTGATTTAAAATATCCCTAGTGAAAATAATATAAAGGAGTTAAAATGCATCACATTGGCAATCGTTTGACTCTGTCATTTCTCAAAACCAACGAGTCACCAAACTTTCCATGCAATGTGTCCAAATTTAGATGTAAAACATGAGGTGGCACACCATCTTGTTGGAAATTGAGATCGTTCGCATCGATTTCATCATGTGTTGGAAGAAAAATTCGGAGAAAATCGAGTTTAAATGCCTGCTTTTAATGGTAACGGCAGTTAAGGCCGTAAACGCGCCCACGAGCTATCAAAATTCCATTATTAGTATTGGTAGATGTTGTATGTACATATATCTGAGTTTGAGTTATCGAAATGCAATTCTGTAAACTTCAACTCGTATTAGTAGTAAATCTCCATCTGGCGCTACAAGGATCTGTAGGTCTATGTATAGTTTCGTTTTTTGCGATGTCGAAATTTGTTGAGCAAAGAATTTGCATTCAATTTTGTTTACGGAATCAATTTTCTGCTGAGTATACGTTGAGGATGGTGCAGGAAGCCTTTGGTGATGAGGCTATGTCTAAAAAAATGTTTACAAGTGGTGTAGTGAGTTGTAAGCCGGCTGTGAACGTGTCGAAGACGAAGAGCGTCCAGGGCGACCATCAACCTCAACCGACGAAGCTCACGTTCAACAAAGATTTGGTGTTGAAAAACCGTCGATTCACAATTAGAGACCTTGCTGATGAAGTTGACATAAGGAAAGCCTCAGCCAATACCATTTTGAAGGATGTTTCGGGCCTCAAGCGCGTTAAATCTCGCCTGGTACCGAAAACATTGAATTTTTTGGAAAAAAGGCGTCGCGTTGAAGTGTGTAAAACGATGCTTTCCGACTACCAGGGTGTCATGAAACGCATTATAACTGGCGATGAGGCTTGGATCTATGCTTACGAACCCGAAACACCCATCAATGGAGCGAATATCGTGCCATAAGAGACCCTAGACCAAAAAAATCGCGCCAAAGTCGCTCAAAAATCAAGGTCATGTTCACTGTTTTCTTCGATTATCGTGGTGTTGTGCATTATGAATTCCTTCCAACCGATCAAACAGTCAACAAGGAATATTATTTGAACGGTATATCCCATAATGCCCTAGTAATTCGTGATCATTTCGTCAAAAACTCAACCCATATCATTCCGCAACTACCGTATTCACCTGATCTGGCGCCGTGCGACTTCTGGCTGTTCACTAAGCTCAAACGACCGCTTCGGGTACACCGTTTTTATACGACATTCAAGCCGCAGCGAAGACGGAACTGAAGGCCATCCCGGAAAGTGACTACAACGAGTGTTTCGAAGATTGGAAAATCCGTTGGCATGAGTGCATTGCATCGGGAGGGGATTACTTTGAAGGGAATGGAATTGATTTGGAAGAATAAATAAAGAATTTTCAAAATAAATACAATGTTACCTTATTTTTTGGGCACAGTATTATGTTTAAACATATACAATTTGTTCTTAGGGACTATACTTATGTGTAGGAGTCTAGTCGCTATTGTGGTTTGGTACATTAAGGATTTTCGGTAGGCGACGAGTTCAAACAGAAAAATGTTATCTGAAAATTCCATAAAATATACTGTTCTAATTTATATTCCACTGGAATGAGCCCTTTGCTGCTTAGGAAGCAATACGTCTGCAATAAGGACTGTTGTGTGAATGGGAGGTTTCCGTAGTATATGCGAAGTGTTTCCAGAGGTATCACATGGGGTTCTATGTGGTCTTACTTAGCTCATCAGAGTTCAGTCAAAGAATCACATTCTAACGCAAAGACTTCTAATATAGCTGCCAGTATGTCAACCCTGCTTGTCTGGACCTTAATCATTCATATGGTATAGAAGAGGCTGGTAGAATTTTCTAACTATCTGATTACTCTATTAGCTTTAATTCTGACTTACCATTTCCTGTAGTGATCTTAATTGATGGCTTCGCAATCATCGTTTTAATCTTTTTCATCATAAGTATTTGTGTTTTTCTTAGAATAAGTCAAAAATTGCTCAGTCACCCTCTTTTAGCCCTTTTCTATAATAGTTAATGATTTACACGTGCCCTTGAAAAGAGCCTAAGTCCCAGCATACGATCTAGAAAAATATTTTCCAAAATACATTTATATGTACGTATTATGAAATGTTTAACAAATTGGAAATTCAGAATTCCACACGAACAGGTCGTTACTAAATGAAAACATACAAACCCAACAACTATTTTTAATGCCACGAGGAAATTAAAGGCAATTATTTTCTCATAAATATGTCGGCATATGTGTAAACCGACGTAAATACGCACGCACAATTAAGAGTAATTCCATTAACGCACAAGTGGGTGAGGTCATATAGATCAGTTTGGCAGGAAAAAAATTTATAATTCGGTTGAATTTTTGAAAATAAAACACAGACCAAGTGTCTAAGCAATCATTAGACGCACAGTCAGACATTAGAATGCCGGGCATAATGTCTGGCAATTAACAAATATTTATCTATAATTGAATCTAATGTCTGCCGAAATATGTTCGTATCTACATAAACATATATGTAAGTATGTATTTGGGTAATGTTTAGATTCTTGAAGATTTCCAAATTTGCATATAAAATGTAATTGGCATGAAATAATTTCGAAATTGAATTTGTGAAATACTCAAACTATTTTGAAAGCATTAGCTGTCAGCTTTAATTCAACGTAGAATAGAAAATTGTGTTTTTCGAGTAGACTGCACACGATGGACCTACTCCCAAGGGTGGAAAAACGTAACAGTCCACTGGCAAGGTTATGGCGTCTGTATGTTGAGATGCTCATGAAGTAATTTTTATTTACTTCCTTAAAAAAGAAAGGACCATCAGCAGCGACTTTTGCATAGTGTTGTCGCCCTTTTTGAAGGATGAAATCGCCAAGCAACGGCTGCATTTGAAAAAGAAGTAAGCGTTGTTTGGCCAAGACAATGCACCGTGTCACAAGTCAATAAAAACGATGGCGACATTCCATGAATTGGCCAGCTTATTCTCTAATGTTCTGTTCTCAGATCCCAAAAGAATGGTCGCTGGGCAGAAATGTTCGTGAAATAAATAGGTGATCGCTGAAACTTAGCATATTTTTATATGTAAAATAAAAGTCGCGATCAGTTCAAGCATCAACGAGGATCACGTTGAAGAGTTTAAAAACAAGGTTAGCCGATAGTCTAAATGTTAAAGTACAGTTTAGTGGTTTACGTCATTTCTATTATATTAAGGTTACTGATTGACCGTAAGTTTTCAAAACATATTTTATATAAACAAAGATCGCCCTGTTAAATCAAATGCCAGCTTCGGGGTTTGTGCCACTCATGAAATAGTACGTGTCATTAAATTAAATATGAAGTTCACCGATTCATTAACAAAACACTTTTCCCTCTTGTTTGATATTAGAATATTTTGCCCTACATTATAGTTACAATAATTATCTGGAGAAAAGGGGGACGCGTGATCTTTTGAGACATATGTAAGTCAATTTCAGTAGATCTAACGATCAGTGATCTCTCAATATTAATATGTATTTCCTCTAATAGTACTTGCTATCTGATATTCGACGTCAGAGTTGTAAACGCATCGATATGAAAATATTTTTTGACAAAGAAATTTTCTATTGATCAAAATGAAAAGCAAAAATCTCAGTATGCAAATCACGGGTCTGTGAGCTTACTACAAAACAATAGCAATAATATTCAAAATCACATAAGTAATAGCATGAATTACTATTCCTGCTAAAGTTTTTCGTAGAAAAATGAGAAATCGAGAGTGCACAATCTGCGAGATTAATTGCGAAAACCAAAAGAACCAGAGTCAAAGAGCAATTGAAAAACAAATGCATTAAAAGAGAGAGACATAGCTGAAATATCTGTTGAGCGAAATCGTGAGAGTGTTTTTATGTGGGTGCGATCAGCACAGCACTCGATTTTTCCAACTTTAGGCAACAAAATGTTTCTAATTTAGTGTTTGTTAAGCGCTGGTGAGCTACAAACTGCAACTGTCAAGAACTAATATAATATAATTCTTTGGTTATTTAAGTGGCGATCACAGTGATCGGGAAGCGTTATTTGTAATAATAATTATCTAAATATACATAAAAACAAAAACAACATAAAATGACTGTTGACGAAAAGGAATGTGTAAAAGTGATTGTCAAAGAAGAGCCTATAATCAAGGCAATCGAATTAAAGGACATTGCTTTCCTCGAGCAGCAACCGGTGATCGTGAATTGTCCCGCCTGCGAAGCTGAAGCGTTAAGTATCGTGCGTTTGGAGGCCGTTACGTGTCTGCAACGATTTCTCAGCGCAACGAAGTTGTGGTAAATAATTTGCTTTAATGATATTAAAATATTTTAGTTATGAAAGAATTAAAAACATAATTTTCTGATTCGTTATCAGTAAATAGTACGTCTCATTAGTTAAGTTTACACTTAAAATTTTTGACAAAAAATTGTTTTTTTTTATATTATAATATGTATTAAACAACGAATGAACGTGCAACGTGGAACTTGGCAATAATTCTTTCAATAACTATTTTTTTTAAACAATTTTAAACGTTTCATAATTTTTTCGTATTTTTAATAAATAATAATTCTATAAATATATTTTTTCAATAATATTGTTATATAATGTTCAAAAATACAACAATCCTTGAATAATAAATTTGCTACTTCTTTTTTTTTAAATAGTATTTAAACTTTTCATAAAATATTTGTTTTTGTTAATTTCTACAAATGATAATTTTATAAATATTTTTTATATAATGCTGAAAATTATATTAAGTTAAAATTTTTTAAACCAATCTTTGTTAAATAAGTTTTTTTTTWATTTTTTTTTTTTAATTTCCGACAAAATTTTCTGAAAGCTATATATTCAAAGTTTTGAAATTAATAATTTTTCATAAATATTTTTGTACAAATCAAAAAAATTTTATTATCCACTTCAATTTCTAGTAAAAATTGGCAACGCCGCACCGACATCAATCATTATTGCAGCAAATGCGGCTGTTACATTGGCCGTTTTGTGCCGATTAATTGCAGCGAACGTTGCTTGTCGCGCAGCGCACGGAAAATGGCAGCCAATGATAGCATGTCTCTGAAGACGCCACCGAACGATTGTGCGGCGCAAGTGCAAAGGAAGCGTGAAGAAGTGAAAGCGAAGCGTGCGTCAGCAAAAGCAGAGAAAGAAGCGGCTAAAACACAGGAAACAACAGTGGTGGAGCAAGTGGAGGCGAAGTGATATTCAAACAGGAAATTACGACTTGAGCTGGCTGAGCGATAGTTTGTCAAAGGAGAAGAGCGGAATAATTGAATCCATTTCTATAATGAATAATTTTATATTAAATTTACTGAATTAAAGAAAATACTTAGGGGAAAATAATAACGATATCAGTGAAAGTTGTTAAATATCTTTACATTTTTTATGCAAAAAGTTTGTGCAGCTTTTTCTTATTAAACTTTTTATTTTTAAATTTCTATGACAATTTCTATACAAAATATTTTTATTTTTTTATTTATTACTTTTTTTCAATTATACATAGTTATCAAATAAGAGAAAAAAAGAGACTAACTATTAGTATAAAAATTATTTATCTGGAAGCATAAATGCATTGTTTTCAGCCTTTTTGGTAAGGAATCCAACATGATCCAATCCACGTCCTTGACATAGCTGAATTGAAACGCCTTAGAAAATAAAATTTTTATGGAATTTTCACATTAATCACCTCGAATTGTATGCTTAATAATAATTTTATTTTCCTGGTCTTAAAAATTAATTTATAAATAATTGATATAATTATACGTCTAGTCTCCCGCTTTTCCCAGCTGATGCAAAATTTGTTCCGAACTCACAAAAAAATTACCTTCAAAATAAACGCCTGAGCCAACGGTTGTTTCCGTACGAGTTTACACAGTTTTTACCCTAAAAATTAATCAAAATACTTATATTGAGTCGATTCATAAGAGATTTTGAGGTCCTCTGCTATCTTTCTGATGCCAACACGACGAATTTGAAGTTCTCTTTAAGCTAATGTAGTACTATATGTCGTCATTTACTGAGGTTGTTTCCCTTGCTTTAGGCAAGTATTTGATGTCTTCATAACATTCATTGAATGCTTTGTGCCCCTCAAATACTCGTGTTTGTGATAGACTCCCCAAAATACTTCTACTACATTTTCAATGATTCCGTAAAAGCCAACTCGGTGTCAAATTTGTTGTACTCGTAATAGTTATTTGGTTTGTAAAACTAAATGATGACGAACTAAACAATTTTGTCTTATCTTAAATTGATTTTTATATCATCTAGTGAGCAATATTTCATCGTTATGCAATTTAATTTTCTTCTTGTGTAGAATAATAAAAAACTAAATATTTTGCTAAAATCCGACAAAGTGCGGTCTTTTGTGATAAACGCACATGCTCAATTTTGAACATACTCCCAGGCGACAAAAGTAAAGCTTGTGATCGTGCCATGTTCGTCAGCTAAGTGACGTTCACGCCGACTATATGTCCTTCTTCGTTTCTTCTACACTTCTCACTTGCTCTCTCTTTACTCTTGTCTCATTCTCGTCTTCAAAATGTGTTCTATTACATCAGCATCATCTTCGTTTTCTCTTCTAACCGTAGCCCGCCTTTCTTCCATATGTCTTCTAGCTTACCTCCCCTTTGCCGTGGTAACAAATCTGCAATGCTCGGCATCTCTGATTTCTCTCCTGTATTTTTGTCGTTTTTTAAATAATTTTTAACTTGCCGAAATACTTCCTCATTAAAGTATCGTTACTTTTCTTGCCTGTATTTTTATTAATAACAGGGCTTCAGATTTTCCCTGATTTCTCTAGGATGGTTTGGACCAAATCTTTGATATTGTTGTATTTTACTTATAGAGGTATTTTCATTTTGTCGGACCTCTATTTGGCTCGAAGTATAAAATGTTTGGTTTGTAAGACCAAATGATGACGAAATATACAATTTTATCTTACCTCTTTGGGGGGACTAATTAACACATTAACGAAATGAAACCATTTGAACTTAGACTTTATCATTATCAGCGCAGACTATTATGAACTAAAACTAGTTATGTCGTTAAAATCTTCTTTATTAAATTTTTGATTAATAATATAAGTTATTTCTTTATTCAAAAGCCAATCGTGATTAACAAAAACAGTATATGTGCAGACCTACCACACCATTAAATAACCCGGACATATATATATATATAAGAAAAGTTGCAAATTTATCAAAAAAAGCTTCAAAAGCTTTAAAGCTACAAAACTTTCGATAGGGTTCGTGTACTGGTACTATCCAAAATAAACCGAATACATATTCTCAGTTAAAGTTATTGTGTACGAAAAAGCTTAAAGCATATACAAAAGCTCGCGTACAAAATATTACCAAATAAAAAAAATTTGTTACAGAATTTATGATAAGCAAAGGTCAGGCATTAACACAGGCAACCTTGCCGTTCTTTGTCATCACCGGCCGACGCACGCAAATCAGACTCCTTTATGACCGTCTCCTCTGTTTGACAATACTCACGATTCGGCTTCACACAATTGTTGGAGCGATCATACAAACCCAGGAAGGTCTTGCAATTCGAACAATGCAGATACTCCTTATTGTCGTTGGGCAGCAAAAAGGGCAAAAAGCAGAAGGGCCAACAGCCGAGTATGCAGGCGGCGCAACAGGAATTGTTCGAGCTGCGTTCGGTTTGTGTGCGTATGAGCGGGCGACGATTGGCGCCGCATTTGGGACAATAGATGGTACCGTTGGCCGGACGCCACTTCTCAATCGAAGTGCGATAGAGGCTGCGACTGGGCTTCTCGTTGTATGTCGGCGAAGAGGGCGTGTGCACCGTGTAGCGACGGGTGTAGGCATGGCTTGTGCCATTACTCTGATCAGCACGCACATCACAATCGGATATATCACGTTTCACTGTATTATCAACTGGTATTTTAAAGAGACCTTTAGTTAGATTCATGACTACTGCTGACAACGTCTTGCTACGATACTTACCGCGTTGCGAGCGTATGCGCATGCGTTCGCGCGAAGATGTGGAACGTGGCTTGAAGTCGTCATAGTCATCCGAGCGTTTGGCGGCTCCGCGTTCAAACATGGTAGGTGCCTTATCGTCGAGCGTCTCGTGCGGCACGACGATGTTGCCAGCTGCTTCGCGCATCGACTTTTGACCGTTATGTGGCATATCGTTTTTACCGTTTTCAGTGATTTCTATTTCGGGATGATCGGTGCGTATGTGTTCGAGCAACGCGTTGGTGTCGTAACGTGAACACTCGAGAATTTTGTTGCATTTCAAACAACGCACATAATGCGTCTTAACCGGTTCGGGTGAGTCCATCGTACATTTTTAATGCTTATTTTACATTTGTTAGGTTTCTCACACAAATAACAAGAGGCAGACACTAATTTTTAAGAACGGTGCGTAATTTAATCAGACAATTCAGGTAACAAAACTGATTGTTATAGTTTTAGATTTTGTGTTTCATAAATTTATTTTCGAAAATTTTTGGCACCGAAATTTTTTTGATACGTTTTAGCTTTTGTTTTGCAACTATATCTAAGGGCTTTTAGTCAGCTTCAGCAATTTTTTAGAACACAAAGTGATATTAATTAGGTTTTAAAGGAATTTTTCGGCAGAAATGTTAAGAAAATGGAATATTGAAACTATTTTCCTGTAAAAATTTTTCTTTATGTAAATTTTGATTGTCAGACAGGTTTATAGATGTGATTTTGACAAGCCTCCACAAATATTATAGAGTTTACATTGATGTTATTTGGCTGCTATTTCAAAAATCTACCTAAAACGTATCGCCATTTTCACAATTATTAACGGTAAATGTAGATATTGGTGTATTGGGTCGTTCATGATTATGTTTTCTCATTGATGAAGTGAGTATGGTTCACAATACCTGAATTTATACAGAAGGGAGGCAAAACTATAATATGATGACCTGTAACTTTCTATTTAAACACGAATTTGAAACAAGGCTTGTCAAGGGCGTACCTAAAAAAAATATGGAGAATGGTCGCATGAAAGCATTCAAGTATCAGCGCCAGTAGGGAAAGCTAGGTTTCCGAATGTAGCACGGTGGATCTAATTAATATTATTGTTCGTCTGCATTAAAATAGTTTGTCTTTGTTTTGAACAAAGTAAAGACAAATTTAGTTTCAATTTGTCCTGTGATATACAAGATTAAAAACTTATTGCGTTAGTAAGTAATTGGCTATTGGGTAGGCAAAAAATCTTTTCGCATTTTCTCACTAGATGTCGTTACAGTTGTATATCTACATTGTGTCATAACATATAATGTTGGAAAGGTGAGATTTTAACTAAAAAATTATATTCGTTGAAGTTGAAAATAGTTACAGCTGTTCAAAAATGAGTGAAGAGAATGAAGAGATTCGCTGTGAAAGTGAAAGTGAAGAATGCCATGCAAGCCACCAATAAAATTTGTGAAGTTTACGGAGACGTCGCTGTATCAGTTTGTGTAGCACACAATGGTTCGCTCGCTTCCGTTCTGGAAATTTCGAATTTTCTATTTGCACTGATAGAGAAATGTTTTTAGCGTAACATGCTACATATTTGTTTACTTATTTACTAGTATAAATAAAAAAGAAAAAAAATTAATAAATAAATAAATAAGTTATAATAATAAGAATTTTTCGACTGCCCAATATAATATTTTAGGAGTAGAATATGACAAGTATGAGATTATGCAGGCTCTTTTCAATAATGATGGCGTGATTTTGACAGTTTGTGGCTGCCATGTTTGTGGTTTGCCATTTCATCATGTTACGTGACACCTCTGTACAAATCGTCCAAGGTTATTATGCAAATTCACGCTCCCCCCAAAATTTTACAAATTTTCGTTTTTGCGCAGATGATGTTATTCAGACTTATGGCGGACTTATCGGGACTTATTTCTTTCACATTTTTCGACAGTTAGATTTTAATGTACTCTTTGGTTAATAAAATAATACAACAATAATATATTTATCGCTGTTTTTTTTAACAAAAATCTTCATAGCAAAAAATTTGTAGGAGATAGAAGAAATCTTTAGCTATTATCTGCATTTGTGGCAGTTCTTACGAAATAAGCACTTTGTTCTGTTCATGTCACAAGAAGTAAGTAGTAAATTAGTTATCGTTTTCAAGCCTTTTCAAGGAAAAATCAGCAAATTTGAGACGTTTACGGCGATACAATGGTTTCAGTTCTTTAGTGAATTCTATGAAAGCAAGCCAAAATTATTTCTCAAAATTCACCAGGTTGTGGTTTAAGATAGTCCCAATTCTTGAGAACATCTTGAAATCGCAAAATTTAGGGCTTCAGCAACACTTTTCTAAACGTCAGTAATATTTTCATGCAAATATCTATGCATGATGAAATTGTAAACATTATTTAGATTATTTAAGGGGTTAGGGGTAGTTAGAATTTTCAAAAAATTGTATTTTTCTTGCATTTTCGCTAATTGTAATATCTTAAAAGTATTCTGTGAAAATTTCACGTTGATCCGATATTAAGTTTTTGAATTATTCGAAAAATAAGAAAGAGAGCTCTGGAACTTTAAAGCACTAGTGTGAAACTTTAAACGCGTTTTTCTCGAAGCTATGTTTTTTGAGCTGGTGACAACTGTCATTAGAAAACCGCTCAGTAGATTTTAATAAAATGTACACAGCTTTTAAAATATGTACATAATAAACTCGGGCCAGATCGAAGGATTTTTATTTTTTCAAAAATTTCAATTTTTTAAGACCAATTAACTGCTTATTATTTTTCCCAAAAATTTAGAAAAAAGTTTCCATTCGATCAGGCCCAGGATTATCTATTTACAAAACTAATTGTTTTGGTCCGATTTATTTTAGGTGAATCTCCAAGGACTTATGGTTGTCAACGCAAGTACCTTTTTTTGAAACAGGGCCAAAACTAACAACTGTACCTTTGGATATTAAATTTTTTTTTGTAAATTTTCATGATTTCAAGTCAACACATTCTATAATATTGCCAGGTTACTACTTTTGTAAAATAATACGATTTAATAGCAAAAAAAAAAAAACAAAGAATATTATGAAAATTCTCAGTTTTTCGTGCCTCTGACTACCCCCTTAATACAATGAAAAAAAAAAAAAAATTATAAAATACAGTTAAACAGTATTCGGAGAAATATATTGCCGTATTAGCTGAATTTTGCTTTCAAACCCTCAAGTGAATTCTTACATTTTGCACCAAAAGCCAATTGAATGGTGTAATCTTATTTAAATTATTATTATAATTTTTTTTATTAATTTAACTGCAGCTATGAAATTGTATTCGCATTACGAATTACATATATTTTCAGAAAATGCTGTAGTTATTTGCTTACATAACATGTCTATCGATGCTGCATGTTGAATAACTCTTACATAATCGAATGACCATGACCGTTCGCCGAACAAGTTGAGTTTCCAGAACCGGCACAGGAAACTACGCATAATAATGAGCAAAACAGAATTATGTCTGTCTTCTTTGTGTACTATATGTATTGATAAACCATCGAGGTAGGTATAAGGTAGGGCAAAGTGTGTGGGTAACAGAAAATTTCATTCTCTTGCAACTTCCAGGGATCAAAGCCGGGGTAATAACTTCAGGTAGGTACGATTTCAATGTTATATTTTATGCATTCTAAGCAAAAAGGTGCACCGTTATTAGAAAGACACGTTCTTTCAATTTTATTAGGATACCTCACATATCCGTATTCTTCAATATATGTGGTAGAAAGTCAACCGGAATTTCGAAAATCTTAATATTTGGTATATGGGGGCAAAGGTAATTACTGATCCGATTTAACGGTGGGCGGTGTTATAATCCGTTTTCACACTATCAATGAATTTTTTATAGGAATTGGTTATTGTAGCTTTAAGGCTTCAAAAGTTATGTATATATATATATACGAGGTGTGTTCAAAAAGTATCGCGAATTCTGAATTTTCGCGGGTTACGTATATTAGAATTTCGAATTTTTTGTGGCGTTAAGTTGGTACTCATGTTTCTCACTTATGCCGACAAGCTCGGCCATTTTGAATGTTCATTTGATTATTGACAGCTGCTTTGCTTGCATGTGTCTTCGATTTTTACCTATTCCAAAAAATGGATCAAAGAACCTGTATAAAATTTTGTGTGAAAAACGAAACTAAGTGCGCGGATGCATTCCAAATGTTGACTATGGCATACGCAGAAGCTATCTTGGACCGAAGCAACGTTTATCGGTGGTACGAAATGTTCTCAGAAGGCCGAGAAGATGTGACAAAAATTGGCTTTTGCACCACGATAACGCTCCTGCTCACACATCGTTGCTTGAGCGCGACTTTTTGGCCAAAAACAACACACTAATGATGCCGCAGCCACCGTATTCCCCAGATCTGGCCCCCTGTGACTTTTTCTTGTTCCCTAAACTGAAGAGGCCCATGAAAAGACGACGTTACGCTTCTCTTGATGAGATAAATACGGCAGCGAAGGAGGAGCTGAGAAGATAAAAAAAAAAAGATTTTTTGAAGTGCTTCGAAGATTGGAAAAACCGTTGGCACAAGTGTATAATATCTCATGGGTATTACTTTGAAGGGGACAAAATATATATTCACAAAATTCGCGATACTTTTTGAACACACTTCGTATATACATATATATAGTATAACTATATATGTATATAACTATGTTATATTTAGGTGACACAAGTAGCAATATTATACTCTGTAGGAATATGTTGCATGAGTATAATGAGACAGCCCAGAATTGAGTAAAACCTAATTTTTTGAACAACCTTTTTATTTGACGAGACGTCTTTCCGAAATTTTGAATTGCTTATGGTCCAAAGCAGCGGTAACTTCTTCGAATAAATTGTTCAGATCAGATCCTTATAGCATGCAGCTTTTATACATCAAAATCAAGTTCTCAATCAAGTTATATGGACTCGTTTGTGTTTATGAAATATATCTTCGATGCTTCATCTTTTTCCTTTTAATGACTTTAAACTCTTTTGCACTCACTTTTGCATGTCTACTAGTTGATTGTTTTTTAAGCAAGTTGACATATGAATTTAGTTTCTACACATTTCACTTTCATTAAAATTTTTAGTATTACGAAATATTTGCACCTTTTTACTTTAGCTCAATAACATTAAAATAACAACAAAACAATTTTAAATGTTTTATGATTGAAGGTCTTTACTAACTGATTTCACTTGAAAATGTAAAAGCTATGTGGTTAGTGGTCTTTTCACAAGATATGACAAATCAAAAATTTTTGAAATCTTCGCCCATTAATTAAGTTACTTGTTTAATTTATTATCCATTTAATTATTTTTAGGGAAATATCACACAAATCAAGAGAAACCGATTTGGAGATAATAATTTATGGTAATATGGAAACAAAGGAAAAAAGCTCTATCTAAACACCAACCACAAAATTTGTGTTTCAGGTTCAATGCACAGAATATTTAATGAAATAAACACAAACAAAGCGGCAATATCTTAAATGCGAAATTCATTGTAAGAAAATAATTCGATAAGTTATCTGTGTTATACATATACAAACACTTGCGTACGTATACATTATTCTACATGCCACATATGTATGTATGCATATTGTCAAGAGAGCATTTATGTACAAGAACAGCAGCAGCACCGAGGCTAGCACAATAGG